ATTCCCAAGAGGATCGCTTAGTGAAAATGCTTTCTTGAGTGAGAAGAAGAGGGTCAAGGCAGCCCATATCCTACGGGGATGTGAGCTGATCAAAATAAGGTTCAGGAAGGAGACAAGTATCTGGTGCATCGACAGGCGGTAGCCAAATAGTTACGGCACATGGCGTCCGTAATCTAGAGGAAAGGATGCAAGGAAGGTTCATTGAGTTCGCGAAAAAAATCGAGCGTAGGCCTACGATCCAATGAGTAGTGGAAATTAGAGTGTAAGTAACGCTGATAGCATATAAGGAGGAATTAGAATAGGTCTTAAGGAGCCCGACAAATCTTCAAGGAGCTCGACGACAAGTTTTGGAAAAGAGGAGTAATTCAACGAGATGGACGATGTAAGGAATGCGGCTTGGGGAAGTCATGATGAACAAATTTCGAGGTCAAAAGTTTTCTTAAGGGGGGAGGAAATGTGATACCTCGAATTTGATTTAAGGTCCAACAGCAAGTACTGATTGAGCTAGACCAATAAATGGAATCGAAATTTTTTTCTCATCACACCCTTGCCCAGAGTGAGGGAATTAAAAATGACAAGTAGCCACTCAAAACTACTTGATGCTAACGAGCTTGGCGAGAATATCTTTTATGGTCAAGTGGAAATATAAGAAGTGAGGTAAACTAAACGGGAAAAGAAATGGACATCGTCAAAGTTCATATAGTAAGAGTAAATTATCGAGGAAAGGAAGTAAAAGAATGAGGAGTATGGAAGAACGAGGTGGTCCTAGTTTTTGTTTTCTTTAGTTAAGGGTAGAAGTCGAAAACTTCTATGAGTTAATGTTGAAATAAGTTATTAAGGAAATAAGTTATTGGGGGATGAAAGTGATAACGACTTTCGTCTAAGAAAGAAAACCCGCTAATAATGTGTTTAGTGAGGGTTGCTTAGGGCAAATACCTTAGGAAGTAACGACGAGACTGACCCCTTATCACTCACCATGTTGAGGAAGGGTTAGCCGAGGTGGATCCCGAGAAGGAGCAAGGCGAGGCGAGCAGCCGTACCATCTTTGATGAGAAGTCAAGGAGCTGGTGAGGAGCTAGACTTAGAATAGTTTAATTACTTTGTTGCATGGTTAGGAGTATAAACTGGACATTCTGTGTTAAGTTGTTTTAAGTGTTTGAGATTGAGATTTTGCCCAAGTGTTAGGGCTTTTCATTTGAAATTTTTAACCATTGTCAGTTTGTTTATTTTAAAATGTGGTTTGGGTTGCTCCGGAGTAACCGTTTTTTGGTTTGAGTTATGGTTTGGTTTTCGAAAAAGATCGGGTCGTTTCACCACTCGTGATCTCCTCGCCTATGGCCGCGAACTTCTCCGTCCATAGAAGGCCCATAAATTGAAGACCACTTCCCCCCTTTTAGATGAGCTGATTTTGAGAGAAATTTTTGGCTTTAGAGAGAGAGAGAGGATAGAGAAAGAAGCTGAAGGAAGGAGTAGGAAGGAGAGGGAGCTAGAAGAGAGGGGGCATCTTTCTCAACCCAAGTCTTCTTCAATTTCTTTATGTTTCTTCTTCCCTCCTTCATAGAGTAGTCCACTAAGGTACTAGGGGTTCTAAACTCCAAACCCTACTTTTAGGGTTTATTATATATGCATGGATATTTTAGGGTTTGAATGAATTAATGTGTTAATTTAGTTGATTTAATTGCTATTCTATCATGGATAGTGTTTGTGGTAGGGCGCCCCAATATTCTCTATTTGCCTACTTTATGCTTTTGTGTTGGGTATGGAGTTCTAGGATTAGACGGGTATATTTTGGCGCAAGTGGAGAACTCACTTTCGTGGAGTGTACTCCTCTCTTGGCATCCCCCACACCACTTCTCGTCAAAACCCAATCATACCCTTGTGTCACCATATCTTCAAGCAATTGGGTTAGCTACGGTGGAGTCTTGTTCATCAACTTCCCATGACATAGATAGTCAATGAGAATCTTGTCTTCTTGGTGGAGACCTCCCTAGAAAGTCTCAATCCGAAAATGTTCTTCAAGTCCATGATGTGGGCATTGGAGGAAAAAGTCAAAATACCTCTCCCACGCATCCCTCAATGACTCACCCTCCTCTTATTCAAAATGGGTGATCTTCTTGCACCACTCCGCCATCTTGAAAGGTGGACAATATCGGGCCATGAACTTGTTGAGCAAGTCGTCTCATGAGGTAATCAAAAGGGGTGGTCTATTGTTGAGCCACCTGAGCGCATTCCCCGCAAGAGAGTAGGGGAATACCCTCAACTTTAAAACATCTTCGGACTTCGGGCATCTGATTTATCTTCAAACTCCCCGCAATCTCGATAAACCTCTGACCATGCTCCCTCGAAGACTCAACTCTAAGCTCGTGGAATTTCATATTGTTTTGGATCATTGTGACGAGGCCAGGCGTGATCTCAACATTGTTGGCGGCCACTAGTGGATGCAAAATGGTCAGTTGGATATCCGCCGCCTATGGAGCCATGTAGTAGCCGTCGTCTTGGCTTCACTTTCTTCCTCTTCCTCCAATTCAGACTCTTCCTCAAATACAACTCCTTCAACTTTGGGACCAACTTGTAGTTATCCCCTCTCTTCAATCCTTCTCCTTGCTTCTGCTAGCTCCCTCTCATGAGCCAAAAGTTGGAGAGTGCGGTTGAGATTCTCGTCCAATGGCGCCAAAGGTGTCAGATTACTCTGGGTCATACACCCTCTTGCACACACTGCAAAGAAACACAACTCGTCGAACACAAGCAAGATTTACACTCACAAAAAAAAGGAAACACAAGATTAACACCAAACAATATTTTAAAAATAACGGACCAAAGCTCCTCAGCAACGCCACCAAAAATTTGACTCGTCCCGAATATCACAATAAAACCCACAATTATGGTCCAAGTATAAACCTTAACCGGGTGCAATATAGGGCAAGTATGTTTTAAAAGTCAAACCCGGGCTGGTCCATGTACCCCCTACTTCGATTGTTTGAAATATTATCTAGCAATGGTTTTTGGTTAAAACTATGATTTATAACTAAAATGATTGGAAAGGTAAATGGTTTGAACACTAGTTGAGAAGGCTTCAACCGGGTGTTGCTCCACATAGCTAACAATCATGGTTTGTCGGATTGAATGCAAATGTGTGGTAAGTCGGTTGTAAACCGTAGGGAAGTGCAACAAATGAACAACTATCACTCTCTCAGTCTCTAGGCCAAGGGATATCAAATCAAGCTACCAAGGTAACTCTCTTGGACGAATCAAGTAAGGGTTGCCTACTTCACCCTCGAACTATAGTTCGGACGACCAAATTACAACCTACCAAAGGTTCTAATACACATTAAGAGGTTTGCCCTAATTCAACCTAGGTAGTGACACAATTGGACAAAGAATTCAAGCTTTCACAAGCCTCTTAACAAGAAGGAATTTTCCTCTACCTAGGTCAAAATGGCATAAGAATTGGAAATGCAAGAACACACACAATCTTCATGAAAATACTTCATAACTTGTATTAAAAAACAACCACACACAAGACATTCGATCCATACATTCTCATAATTGTAGTTAGGGTTACAAAGATCCAAGTGAAAGAAAGGTCTACTCCATACTAAGTAGAGGGAAAACAATAGGGAGAAGAGAGAAAACCATCTTGGATATGTTTGCCTTATTCCTTTTGGTGTGGAGATCAACCTTGGAGGAAGAACTTCCCAAAACCTAGCTCTTGAATGAAACCCTAACTTCTCTTCTCTTCTTGTTTGCACTTTCTCACTCTAGAAATCAGAAGAAGAAGAAGAAGAAGAAGAAGAAGTCTCTCTAACTAGGTTGCTACCCCTTTTTTCTCTTTCAGCTCAGCCCCCCTTTATATACCCAGAACGAAGGCGTTTCACGATATCGTTTCACGACCGTGAACATCTGACCCTGACCGTGATGTCAGGCTAAAACGCCTCGTTTCATTAAGGGGGTTCACGGTATGGAGCTGGTCTTCAAGATCGAGTGACCGTGAACAGGTTTATGCCCGCGAGATGGACAATCCCTTCTGGACTCCCCGCTCTTCACGGTCGATGCCTCCTCTTCACAGTCTAGAAGACCGTGAACTGCTGGCCTCCACCATGATCTGCTACTGTTACTCCTTTTTGACTGATTTTTGCCCCTTGTCATCCAACTTTCGTTCCATGGGTTTACTAGGATCTGAAACATAATAAAAACAACCACAATCTAGCGTAACCTCACAGAGTAAAAGTAACACAAACATCTAAGGATTGGGAAAACCTAATGGACAAAAGTGAAAACAAATGGTATGAAATGAGAGAGTCGGGTAATAGGAGGTTCTCTAAAATTTAGAGATTTAGGAGAGGACATGTGAGTGGAGAAAAAAAAAACAAATAAAGGTTGTCCACTTGCACTTGGAAGAGTTTGGGGACACTAATGAATAGTAACTTAAGACTTTTAGGCTTTTATATATTAATAATTTATAATTCCTATATATCTCCAATCTTCTTTGATCTTATATGTTGTTGGTTATTTATCATTTATTAATCGTATTCTCCTTTACACCTCATTTTTTGTCTGAGACTCTTGAGTTAGTTTTGTATTATCCAAAATTGTGCTGGCCGTGGCAGCTAGATATGTTTCCCTTCTACTTTTTGTTTGTTAATTTGGCTAAATTACACATATGTTCACTCAAATTATACAAATTTTTCACGTTTGCCGCTCCAATTATTTTTCTTTCTTACTCACCACTAACTTTACGAATCGTTTCACCGTTAGTCATCGACCGTTATATTCCTTTAAATTTGTCCTATGTGGCAGTCAACTATAAAGTTTGACCTTTAACTAGATGACGTGGAAATTAAAAAAAAATATTTGTCCACCTCATCACTCCACTTACTTTGTTATATGATTTATCATATTACTTATTTAATAAAAACTAATTAAATTAGAAAAAATATGATTAATTTTTTTCTCTATCTTTAGAATTTGAATATAAAAAAATAAATAATATTATTAATTTATTGAATACAGGTGTGAAACAAATTAACACCCTAAAAAAATTTGAGAAGGGAGTCAACTTTAGAGCATAAATGCAGCTGCATCAGGAACCGACAATACTAATACCGGTCAATTTGAAACCACTGGTGGACCGACAATAGCCGCAACAGGTGTGCGAAACGACGGGGATGTTATCCGAGATGTTCAATTTCGCTCCCACCAGCAGACCGCCCGTCCTCGCCTCCGTGCACTTGCTAGACCATCACCATCCCACCGTCAATGGCTGGTACGACGGCAACATAGATACTTCTTCCAAGGATAATGCAAATAATCATCATCATCATCATCATCATCATCATGTAATCAGACCGACTTCCACCTCCAGATTCCATCCACGATTGATGTGGATTCGGCGGCGTGCAACTCTTCCTCTCCAATCCGCCGCGATACCCGTCTCCACCAGTACCACTGTCATCGTCCTCCACTCTTCACATGCTTCTCCCACATAGGTACGCCTCCCACCCGACGCGATTCTCGTGGGTCTCGGAGTCGAACCCCTCAGAAATTGGTTGCACGGTTGAAGGGAAAGCGCAGGGCCTATAACACCTTAGGCAAATCCCACATCGACAAAGCACGGGAGAGATCCATGGTTCATAAGTAAGAAACTGACCGTAACTGACAAGACGAGTATTTGGATGTAATGGAGGAGTTCTTGTGAGAATTCCGAAGTTAAACGTGCTCACTGTGGAGTACAACTAGGATGGGTGACCTTATGGAAAATCACCTTGAATTGCACCCCAAGCTGAAAACCGTGAGGGTCGAGGCCCAAAGCAGACAATATCTTGCTCGGGAAAAGGTTCGAGATTTTACAAGGCGCCTCCACTAAATATAATAATTATTATATTATTATTATTTATAACCCGCAATTGTAACCCCTCGTACGTAACCGTTAACCCAACTGTTCACGTATTAGGGTCGAACCTAAATTCAAAGGTCGGGGTGTTACAGGGCCTCTCCCTGTCCTCGTCGCTCCCGCACCTGGAAGCTGCCAAGGGCGAGGAATTGCCAATTAGTAAAGAGGGCGGCGGATTATTATTATTCATTTTTGCAATTTAATTAATTTTATTAAATAGGTAATATGATAAATCATATACACAAAGTAAGTAAGTGGAATGATGAGGTGGAAAAATAAAAATTTTAGTTTTGTTTAATTTCCACGTCATCTAGTCAATGGTCAAACTTTATAGTTGACTGCAACATATGATAAATTTAACGAGTGTAACGGTCGTTGACTAATGGTGAAACAATTTTTAAAGTTAGTGGTGAATTAGAAAGAAAAGTAATTTGGGTAGCAAACGTGAAAGATTTGTATAATTTGAGTGACACGACGTGTAATTTAGCCTTGTTAATTTGTAGAAATGATTGCTATGGGGAACGGATTTCATGCATAACCTTGTGATGAGTAACCATGCATGACCAAATCACCATCCGCCACATCAGTGCCCCTTCTCTCTCATTGAAAACATTTAATTTTCCCCCTTAATCTTCAACGGACGATTTCTCACTCGTTTTACGTTGATTTTTTGTTTGCACAGTTAGATCAGATTAATTGTGCTATTCAAAATGATATCCACTTTGATATATTTTTAGAACAAAAAAAATTGAGCAATTTTTTAGTAGTATATACTATATGGTATTGACTGGTATTAAATAAGAGCATACCGTATGGTATGAAAAAAGCTTACCATGGTGGTTTGAACATACCAAGACTGTAGGATGATTGAATACATGATAATAGAAGTACACGAACTATCATTTACGACTTTCAACATTGTGTAACACAAGATACCACCCCATATCAGGGTGGTATTGTGTGGTATTTTTTGGTCATGTATTTTGTTCACTCAGAAATTTGTAGATCCAATAGATCGTGATGAACTCGTTCATTTTGTGCAAAAAATGACTTAAAAACCATATGGTATGCAGTTGGTAACGAGATGGCAGAAATATTTTTCACAAAAAATATTGAAAATTGATCTCATTTTGTAGAGCACAACGAACTCGTTCTATTGTGCAAAAATAATTGAAATTCGAGTTAAAACAAAAAAGATATGAGTCGATTAAGCAAACATGAAAAAAATAAAAATGACTTTAATTATCTACTATTAGATCTAGATTTTCTGACCCACTCAAATTTGATGGTTGTGATTTGGTTGCTCATTTGTTAGTAACCAGAAATTGGCCTTACTTCCAAGCATGATTGACAACATTATATTACCGGCTTCTCTAACTTTGACGCGTCTTTATCTACACTTATATCCTTTGTTCCATTTTTTAGGATCTAATAAAGCTATCCACTAAGTAGTAAAAAATGGTCTTTCACAAATGAATCGATTAGTTATGGACCGTCACATTTGATTATTCAATTGTATTTTTTTTTTTGTCAATAAAACCCTTTCGGATTTTAAACGTTAAAGACATGGGAGGCTACAGAATCAGCACTCTCACCTGTCGACTCAAAGACTAACTAAAGAGGAGAAATTAAGCCGCATAGGATGGAAACCAGGATAGCATAGGGCCTGTTGCGCCACACAATAGGCAGCCCGATTCGCATCTCGAGGTGTGTCTACCCTATTGATTATTAAATTGTATGCATATAAAAATCGTATTTAAATAAAAATGAGCAAATAATAAAATTGAAAAGTTGGCGCATATAGGAAAAAGCTCGTTCGCAAACAAAGGCGACACAAAAAATCTTCCGTTTTGCCGCCGAACGTCTTGATCAAGCTCTTCAAGCTTTGAGCTTCCACAAGAGCGCGTCAAAGAGCCATGAACGAGAGAGTGCTCGTTCTTTCAATCATAGCATGTTCAGCGCCCTCCCAGCTTACACCCGCAACAGAAGCCGATTATTTCTCCACACTACCCGATCTAGTTTCAGCCTTTTCACCGTCACGCCTTCTTTACCACCACGGCCGCCGCCACCGCAAACCCCTCTCGCCTTTAGGTCACAGAACGCCAAACTTCCCTTAATAATCCCACGCCCGGCCGACCACATCTCGTTTCCGGAGTTCAGAAGATTCTCGCTTCTAGAGACAAGTGGCAGACCTATCTTGCCAATTGCTTCCGATTCGAGTCACATCGGTGATTTTTACGAGTCCTTGGTTCGTCGATATCAGGACTCATCTTCGCCCAAGGATGCGGACAGGTTTCATCTGGGTTTGCTCAAACACGGTTTCAATGGTGATCTGTTCCTGTGCAATACCCTTATCAATGTTTTTGTCAGAGCTGGCCGTTTGGATACCGCCCGGAAGTTATTCGACGAAATGCCTGACCGAAATGGCATCACTTGGGCTTGTTTGATTACTGGATATGCCCAGAATGGTATGCCCGAAGAGGCTTGTAAGACTTTTAAAGGGATGGTTTGCGAAGGATTTCAGCCAAATCGCTTTGCTATCGGGAGTGCATTTCGAGCTTGCCAGGCGACTGGTACAGAAGGGATTAAACTCGGCATGCAGATTCATGGCTGGATTCTAAAGTCTCCTCATGAACACGATGCAGTTCTCTCCAACGTTTTGATATCGATGTACGGAAGCAGCATCCAGGCAGAACATTTTGAAAGCGCTCGTCGTGTATTTGATGAGATGAAAGTTAGGAATTCTGTATCATGGAACTCCATCATATCAGTTTACTCGCAACGTGGGGATTCTGTCTCTGCTTTTGAACTATTCTCCAACATGCAAAAAGATTCCGGATTTGGCTCCAATCCCAACGAGTATACCTTAGGAAGTTTGATCACTGTTGCTTGTTCTTCCAGCTCATCTTTGCTGGAGCAGATTCTTGTCAGGGTTGAAAAATCAGGCTTTCTGTCAGATCTCTACGTGGGCAGTGCTTTGGTAAGTGGGTTTTCTAGGTCTGGAGTTTTCGATTATGCTAGGAAGATTCTGAAGCAGATGACCACTCGCAGTTTCGTCTCCATGAACGGATTAATGGTTGGACTGGTTCGGCACAAATGCGGAGAACAAGCAGCTGAAGTGTTCACTGAAATGAGAAGCTCAGTCGATATAAATCTCGATTCATATGTTATACTGTTGAGTTCTTTTCCCGAGTTCTCTACAATAGAGGAAGGAAGAAGAAAGGGTCGAGAAGTTCATGGATGCGTGATCCGAAATGGGTTCAACGAAATCAAGGTCTCAATAGGTAATGGCCTTATCAACATGTATTCCAAATGCGCTGATATTCTTAACGCCAGATCAGTGTTTGACCTCATGGTGAACAAAGATTCAGTATCATGGAACTCCATGATTTCTGGGCTTGACCAGAACGAGTGTTTTGAAGATGCAGTAGATGGATACCGCCAAATGAGAAGGACCGGTTTAAAGCCGTCGAATTTTGCATTTATTAGTGCTTTCAGTTCATGCGCAAGCTTGAGTTGGATCATGCTAGGACGACAGTTACACGGCGAAGTGATAAAATTCGGACTTGAACTCGACGTTTCAGTTTCGAATTCCCTTCTTGCACTATATGCAGAAACTGGTTATCTTGCTGAATGTCAGAAGGCCTTCTTGTTGATGCCAGATCTCGATCTGGTCTCGTGGAACACCGCAATTGGAGCATATGCTAATTCAGACACTTTGGCTTCTAACTCGGTAGAAACTTTCCTGGAAATGATGAGAGCTGGATGGAATCCCAACAGAGTAACCTTCATCAACATCCTCACTGCAGTCTCATTTCTCTCCCTTAATGAACTCACCCCTCAAATCCACGTCATGTTGCTGAAACGCCACATGGCTGATGACTTGGCTTTAGAAAACGGCCTGTTGGCTTCCTATGGCAAATGTGGAGAGATGAACGACTGTGAGAAGATCTTCTTGAGAATGTCGAATCGAAGAGATGAAGTCAGCTGGAACTCGATGATTTCTGGTTACATCCACAACGAGATGCTATCGGAAGCCATGGATTTGGTCTGTTCCATGATGCAGACGGGTCAACGGTTGGACCGGTTCACCTTTGCCACCGTTCTCAGCGCTTGTGCTTCCATCGCCACACTGGCACATGGTGCAGAAGTCCATGCTGCTGCATTGAGATCTTGTCTGGAGTCCGATGTAGTCATTGGAAGTGCTCTGGTAGACATGTACTCGAAATGTGGTAGAGTTGACTATGCATCAAGATTCTTCAACTCGATGCCCGTTAGGAATTTATACTCGTGGAACTCGATGATATCGGGGTATGCTCGACATGGGCACGGTGAAAAAGCTCTGGATCTGTTTTCACAGCTCGAAGCTCTAGGTGGGTTGCTTCCTGATCACGTCACCTTCGTTGGAGTGTTATCAGCTTGTAGCCATGTTGGACTGGTTGATTTAGGGTTTGGCCATTTCACCTCGATGACCGAGAAATACAAATTGAAACCTCGAATCGAGCATTATTCCTGCATGGCAGATCTCCTAGGAAGAGCAGGGCAGCTTGAGAAGTTGGAGAATTTCATCAACTCAATGCCGATGAAGCCCAATACTCTGATCTGGAGGACAGTTCTAGGCGCCTGTGGTCGATCAAATGGTCGGAAGACCAAGCTAGGGAAGAGAGCCGCCATAATGCTAATGGAGATGGAGCCCGATAATGCAACAAACTATGTACTTATGTCAAACATGTATGCATCAGGAGGGCAATGGGATGAGGTGGCAAGGTCCAGAAAGGCAATGAGAGATGCCTTGGTGAAGAAGGAAGCAGGGTGTAGTTGGGTGTCGATGAAAGACAGGGTCCACGTGTTTGTGGCCGGAGACAAGTTTCATCCGGAGATGGATTCGATATACGAGAAGTTGAAGGAGTTGAAGAGGAAGATGAAGGATGCAGGGTATGTTGCAGAGACGGGGTTTGCTTTCTATGATGTTGACGTGGAGAGCAAGGAAGAGTTGTTGAGTTATCATAGTGAGAAGCTTGCTGTGGCATTTGTTTTGAGTCGTGGTGGAGGGAGGGCACCGATTAGGGTTATGAAGAATCTGAGGGTTTGTGGTGATTGTCACACTGCTCTGAAGTTGATATCGAAGATTGAAGGAAGGCAGATTGTGGTTAGAGATTCCAATAGGTTTCATCATTTTGAGGATGGAGAATGCTCATGCCGGGATTACTGGTAGAACTTAAAACCATATGTTTTAGGTAGTAAAGGGAGTTCTCTAAGCTCACTTATTAATTCACTTACATAATCTTCTGTAGAACGAATGGTTGTTTTCTATTTTATATAGTTTATTTGCAATTAGATGATGACAAGTCCTCCACTATTTGCAATTAGATGATGTCTCGTGCTCTTGTTCCAAAGCTAGCTTTCTTTTTCTCTCTTCCGTTGCTGAATTCTTAACTTTATGGGATCTCCCGTTCAGAAAAACTATATAGGATCTCCGTAAAGCAGCCGCCTTTTTATCTTTCCTTCACTTGGGTAGAGCTTTTCGATTTGATTGAGAACCTGAGTTCTGCATTGCTACAGCGTTGACAGATTTGGTTATCAGTTTATGTACAAAATTTTGTTGTGAGTTGTAGATCTCAGCTACTGGTTCCAGTTCGATCTTTTACTGACCCACTATTCATGTCTACGGTCACCCCTACGAGTTGCTCTTATTTCTGAGCTCAAGTTAATCCGTTATCTATTGGGAATGATGACTTTATAGCTTCATTTTGCAGTTATCAACTTATCAGCCACTGTTGATTTGGAGAATCTTATTATGGAATTGCAGATGAATGGCACATTGATATCTGATTTGAACTTTTCCCTGTTGTACCAGAAAGGAGCTTGTGCCTACAAAGCCATTGAGCAACATAAATTGGACGACAACAATGCCCATGCAGAGACTGGAAGTGCTGCCTTAGGTCCGATGGAGATCATCAATCAACATCAATTAACTCTAGCATACTGAAGAATGAGCAAATGGCATCATCGTCACCATTGGCCGAACCACTCTTCACACCTTATTCGGTCAGATTTTCAAGACCGACTCTGATGCCTTTGAGTACTACAGCAACTTTGCTCGAAAGAATGGATTCTCAATCAGCAAAGCACTATCAACCAAAAGCTAGGAGTCTATAGACGTGACTTGGTTTGATACCGGTCTGGATTTAATCAGCCTAGGAAAAAGGCGGATGTGGAGCATCCCAGGGGCCGAGGGTCAGTTCGATCTGGATGTATACAAAGTTGTATTTAATGGAGAAAATAGGTGATGGTGTTGCTCAGTGGTATGTCTCACAATTCAGCAATGTGCACAATCATGGAGTTGTTAGAAGATGATCAAGTTCGACTTTTACCTGCATATAGAAAAGTCCTTGAAGCAGAACAAGAACGTATATTCTTGTTATCCGAGGCAGGATTTCCTGTAAATCGGATAGTGTAAGTGTTGGAGTTGGAAAAGGGAGTTCAACCTGGGCAACTTTCCTTCATAGAGAAGAATGTGAGAAACTTCATAAGGACCTGAAAGAAGACTGTTCAAGAAAATGATGCTTTGCTTTTGGAGAAGAAAGAAAACGGTACATTGGAGCTTCTCGAAGCATGCAAGGGTATGGTAGAGAGGGACAATACTTTTGCTTATGAGAATACCACAGGTGTAAATGAAAAGGTTGAGAATGCTGCATGGACATATGGGGAATCCATTAGATCCACCTATGCATTGTATGGAGATGTCGTGTACCTCGATACAACTTATCGTTTGATAACCTATGTCTTATGTCTTGCTACAAGGAGTGATATTTGGCATGGATAATCATGGGAAGGCTGTTCTTTTCAGATGTTTCTTGCTTCGAGATGAAAGTTGTCACTCTTTTGCATGGGCTTTACAGACTTTTGTTCGGTTTATGAGAGGTAGGCAGCCACAGACGATTATAACGGATATAGATTCTGGGATTAGGGATGCTATTGCAAGGGAGTCGCCAGATGTTATATGTATATGTCATGTCATGTGATCATGTCCAAGTTGTCTAGCTGGTTCTCTTTGCTTTTGGACTTGTTTCAGATAAGCATGTTGCTTTGCTCTACTCGTAAAAAGGATCCTGGTCAATGATAGGGATGACAACAAAACCCGAACCCATGGGTACCCACCCGATACAATCCGGTCAACACGGGTAAAATTCGTGTTGACGGGTTTTGGGCCGGGTTTGGGTTTAAACCCGTTCACTATTCACCGGGTTGGGTTGGGTTTGAGTTTAGGTAAACCCGACCCATGGGTACCCGTCCACACCCATATAATTAATTTTCTCGGCATATTTAATATTCTAAACAACTAATCTTATTTATGTTGGTGGAGACATGCCTAATTTTTTCTTTTTAGTTATGTAGTATGAAGTTTATATTATCGAGTGGAGAGTGAAAAACTTAATTGAAAGGAAGAAGCTTTCAATTAATCATGTTATTTATGGATAATTTGTGATTTGCTTCAATTTTCTTGAGTTTTCTAGATTGGTGTGGAACAATTTGTATAGTTAATTTGTGATTTGCTTGAATTTTCTAGAATGGTGTTTTATATATGGATAATTTGTATTGGGAGATTGATATTTGACTTTAATTTTGATAGGAATTTGTTAGTAAATTTTTTACGACAAAAACCCGTGGGTACACATGAACCCGCGGATACCCAGCGGGTTGGCTTGAGTTTGAGTTTTTCAAACCCAGTGGGTTTTACCCCGGGTTTTTTTCACGGATAAATCCATGGATTTGGGTTTGGGTTTGGCAAAACCCGACCCAACCCGACCCATTGCCATCCCTAGTCAATGACTTATGTTCGAGGGTGCTTTCTGGCTCTTACGTCGACTCCCGAGTTCTCACAGTCGTGCGAATTGTTCTTGAAAAGGATTCTGAATGGACAGTCTTGTTTGCAAGTGTTCTTTGAGCAGGTAACTTACTCCCATTACTCCATGTGGGGTTATAATTGCTTGTTGGCTTTGATGTTTTAACTTTTCTCTTCGGCTCTTCAAACCTTTTTCGTGGATCTTCTAGGTCAATGCTGCCGCCAACTACGCGATTCACGCCATAACCGGGATTTACTATTCGCCCATCAAAGCATCCACACCTATCGAAGAGCATGCACGGAGCATTCTCACACCTTGCGCTTTCAACATCTTTCAGCACGAAATTGTGATGTCCATGCAATATGGAGCACAAGAACTTCCAGATGGGTCATATCTCGTACAATATTTTAAGAAAATGGATAGGGAATATTTAAGCTCCCAGAAAAATACTTCCCAGCCCGCTGGAGGAAGCAGATCATAATGCTGAAAGCAACAGTGATTTGTGTGTTCAACCCTTCCTTTTTCTTGTTGCATCTCTACCGACCGATCACTGTATCCAAAGCAAAGATCGGTTTAGCTATGTTCATAGGGAGATTTCAGCACTACTTAATCGCGTTCGAAGCATGCCAGCTGGAGAAGTTTTGCTTCTCAATGTTGCATCTAACAATGACGTTGAATCTTGACTCGGTTAAATATAGTCGAGGATGACCTGTAAAAACACAGTTATAACCTTGTGCATCAAAATATAACTTGTGGGTATCTTTGATGGCATTTAACAGCAGTGGAAGGGATGAAATACAGGCTTCTTGGTAGCTTCTATCTGCATCTTCATTCTGTTACAAACACGGGTTAGGCCGAGTGGGATGGGGTCTACGGCTCGGCCCTAGACCCTAGTGAGTTAGTCGGGTAGTACTTTTGTTATTTGCCAGTACTATGTAAGGGGAGGACACTGTTTTTTCCCAGATTAAGCAAAGAATAATATTGAAATTACTGAATTCCTATCTCTTCTCTCTATTTTTCCAAATTCTTTTCTAATTCTCCTTAATTTTCAATACCTAACCCTAATTCTCTTTTGATTCTCTCTCGATTCTTCCCCAAATACTCATGATTCTTACACATTCCATTAGTTGTGTGAATATGATTTTAAGCTAAAGCAGTAAGAAAGCAGAAAATGGTTCGAAGTTCTTAAGCAGGGGAAGAGTCACTCGAGAACGAGTCCCCCTAGCTCCTTAGTTAGGTCAAAATTGTAATCACCTTTGGTTGATTTACTGTTGATTAAACTGCGGAAGATCCGACAGTAGTTTGGAATCTCTTAAGCTGACCAAGCCTCTCAGACAGACTACCCAGCAGACGACTAATCTTCACCGAGATAGAACGCTGAGCAATTAACACAGAACTCGACTACTGGAATTGGATTCCAGTACAAAGTAGTGAATCGACTAACTCTCGTATAATCAATTCACTACTACCAATTGAAGAAGCTCTAACAACCTAATCAGATTCTATCTATCTCAGGTTGCAGCAGAAATTAGGAAAAGTTAATCAAACTTCAATTGACTCAATCAAAACACTTCAATCGATTATAATCAAGCAGTATCACAAACCAAAAGTCATTACAATCAATATCCCTAACACATGGAACTAGGGTTCTTCATACCCAAGTGAGAGGGTTCTACTCCATAGAGAGAGAGGAAAATAGAAATCAGAGTAGTCATACTCATAAAGATGGGAATAATCTGCTATGGGATGTCGATCTTCACTCCTGGGGATGCAATGTGGGCTTCAATAGTGAGAAATCCACTCCAAATAGCTCCTAGGGTTATTTATTTGCATTTTCTCTCTCTAGAACTCTGTTTTCTGCTCAAAAAGTCATACTCCTTTCCTTTGGCTCGAATCTACCTAAAAAACCCGATTCTGGCGGAAATACGGGCAGAAATACGATCGTAAATATGGTCTGCCCGTATTTTGCCCAAAACGCGCGTTTCACTTATCGCTGATGAAAGGGAAATACGGTCATCATTACCAAATTACTAATAGTAATCGTGGAATTACGACCGTAAACCATTCTGTTCTTGCCCGTATTTTGCTCTTCCTCATACGTCTTCACGGGTTTGGCTCGGCATAAAAATTACGGTCAGAAGCATGAGAAATACGACCATATTTCTTCAGGGGACAACCGTATTTTGCACCTCGAATCGCCAAATGACCTCCAAATGACCCGAAACTTGCGCATATACCCCCCTTTACTCGCTAGGACCTGAGATATGACAAAATAACACAACCTAGCGTAAAATAGGCCAAGGAGCCACAAATTCGAGCTAGAATGGTCAGAAAACAAGGGTGCAAACATGTGTAAATACGACGCTATCATGCCCGCTCGCTGCGCTTTGTGAAAAACGAGTAATGTGAAAGGCTAGATGTGATTAGAATAAACTAATTTGTAAAGAACACAAACCCAAAAAATGCAGGATTAGCTCATTTGATGAATAGGACAATCTAAGCAGCTAAATAAGAATCGAGGAAACATATTTTGCCATAAGGTGAAGCAAACAATACAAAATGGACTTGTTGGCCAATGAATAGGTACCAATTCGGGAGGGTAAATGCCACATTTGGTCACGAAAATTACTAAATCGTGTCATGTTTAGTCACTAAAAAAAATTTAATATCAACTTTGGTCACTCAAATTACTGAAACAGGTCACATTTAATCACTCTCCCATTAATTTCCGTCCAACTTAACCAAGACTTTTATATAAGAAGTTTTACATAACTATCCCCTCAAAAGTTTCATCCACTAGCAGCTGTGTTTATGCTTTGCTTGTGAGACTGTAAATAGAAAGGGAAAGGGAGATCTGAAGTCTTCTTAGCCATGTTTGTAATACTGCCGCATTAGGTGATTGTAAGTAGATGGATTCGGGAGTGCCTCCAATCACGTCATTCTTGGTCTTAATGAATGGGACCCCTGCAGGTTTTTTTGCCCCATCCCGTGGACTCAGGCAAGGTGATCCGTTATCCCCCCTTCTTTTTGTCATTTGTACGGAAGGATTTGCCGCTCTCCTTCGTCAAGCCATCGCGGAAAGGAAATTACAAGGGGTTAAAGTAGCCCCTCGGGCACCTCGAATCTCTCATTTGTTCTTCGCTGATGATTCTTATTTGTTTCTTAGAGGCTCCCTCCAAGAATGTGAGAATCTGATTGAAGTCCTTAATGAGTATGAGGAGTTGAGTGGCCAGAGGGTAAATCTAGAGAAATCGGCTGTGTGCTTTAGCAAAAATATGGCGGTGACGGATCAGGAGTTCTTGGGGGAAATTTTAGGTGTCGGGGCTGTGGGCGTCCATGATAAGTATTTGGGCTTGCCATCCCTTATAGCCCGGTCTAAAATGGCTACCTTTCGCTACTTGGAGGAGAAGCTGCTGGATAGATTGCAGGGGTGGAAACGGCGAACTTTGTCATGGGATGCTAAGGAGACATTGATCAAATCAGTGGCGTTAGCTATGCCTCTTCATGTTATGTCTTGTTTTAAACTTCCACTGGCCTTGTGTCGTCTTCTTGATAAGCATATAGCCCAATTTTGGTGGGGAGTGAAAGAGGGTAAATAGAAAATCCGGTGGATTTCTTGGAGGAACTTGTGTAAAAGTAAACATGAAGGGGGCATGGGGTTTCGCCGTTTTGAGCATTTCAACCAAGCTTTGCTTGCTAAAATTGGTTGGCGTATCCTTGAGGAACCATAATCCCTTATTGCCCAGGTGTATAAAGGGAAATATTTTCCCAACGGGTCATTTCTGACTGCTCAGGCCAGATCACGACCCTCTTGGGGATGGCAAAGTATCCTCTTTGGTCGGCAATTGTTGGAATCAGGGCTGAGATGGCAAATTGGAAATGGTCAGAAAGCTCCTCTGCTGAATACCAGCTGGATTCCCCAGCAACATCCCCATCATCCTGTCTATAACCCATGCATGGTTACTGAGGGGGAGGGGTTGAAGGTGGAGGAAGTGATCCACCAGGGGGAGGGCCGATGGAATGATCAAAAATTGAGTCAATGGTTTGATCCAAATACCTGTAAAGCCATTAGGGCCATCCCATTGCCGCGCCAGAATATTGAGGATAAATTGATTTGGCATCCGACGTCAGATGGTGTTTTCTCCGTCAAGTCGGCATATTATGTAGCGGTGAATTTGGATCGTCAGAATGGGTGGTGGAGGGCTTTGACTAGTTGGATGGATAAGCCAAGTTGGATCAGGTTGTGAGAAGCGGATATTCCTCCGAAACTTAGGGGGTTTGTTTGGCAAATATTTCATAGGATTCTTCCTACTACGGAAGCGTTGCGGGAAAAGAAGGTTGACGTCTTGCCTCGCTGTCCGGTGTGCTGGGCGGCATCGGAAACTCTGGAGCATATGTTCTTGGAGTGTCCGGTGGCTCGTGCATTGTGGGACCATTCTGGGCTAGCCCATCTGGGTGAAGGTTTGCCTCGCCATACGTTCCCGCTATTTCTGAAAAGATTGTTGTCTGTGGTGCGTAACCTTGAGCAGGTAATGTCTATAGTGGCTGTACTGTGGCAAATTTGGCGATCCCGGAATTGGGTGGTCTTTGAAGGCAACCAATTTGGGATCCCTGCCTTAATGCGGCAATTCCACCAGCAAATTCAGGAGTGGAGTAGCCTACCCCGGGACCGGTCTGTGCAGCGATTGAGATCCCCGGCCCATACTGTTGTTGCCGATGGGAGTAACACGGCAATTTGTATGTGGGATGGGGCTGTGCGGCTGGGATCTCATGCGGCAGGGGGAATGGTTATCCTTGATTCTGCCAGAGAGGTCATTCTTGTGAAGGGTGTTCATTTCCCGTTCCTTGATGATCCAATGTTGGTTGAGGCTTTGGCCCTCCGAGAGGCGATGGGTTGGTGTTTGGCTAATGGTTTCAATGCTATGAGGTTTGAAGGGGATGCCCAAGTGATAATTGAGAAGATTCACCGACGGGATGTTCGTGATAATCGAGTAGGCGCAATTCTGGAAGAGATAATCAACTTGTTCGCCTCAAACATAGGATTCTCTGTACGATTTGTAGGTCGAAGAAACAATAGGGTAGCTCATTTGGTAGCTAGACAGGCCCTTTCTTTGTTCCCGGCTACATGTCGTTCGTTTGATTTCCAGGCCTGGCTGTATTCCAGGGTGTAACGATCTATTGATTTCAATCTAATGATTATCTTTTGTCAAAAAAAAAAAAAGTAGGGATGGCAATGGGGTGGGTTTGGGGCGGGTTTGCCTAAACTATCCCCATCCCCATCTTCAAATACCCAAACACATACCCGCCCCATACCCATGCAGGGGAATGTTTTGCAAACCCATTCACATACCCGTAGGTTTCGCGTACCCATGGGTAATACCCATACCCGTACATCCAACATTATTATACCTAAAAGTTACAAGAAAATTTTTAATTATAACTCTAAACAAACATATTATATCAGGAAGTCAACAAAACTCAGTCATTTTTTTAATATGGTTCAAAGAATATGATCTTAAAATACTCATTAATACATAATATAGAGTATAATATTTTTCAAATTATTATGTTCTAACTCTGATACATCTACTAAGTAATAATTAACTAACATAATCTTGTTGACAATGGAGAAAGTGAAAGAGTGAAATGAGAATTGAGAGAAATTAATTAGATTTTGATTAAGATGGTCACTCAATTGCATTTCTACTATTTATTTTCTCAAGTTATCCTCATCATCATTGATAGATTATAATTTTATACACATATTTTTTTATATATGAAGAAATTCTATTGGTGGGGCGGGTATGAGTATGGGTATGGGTATGGGGCGGGGGAGGCTAAAACCAAACCCGCCCCATACCCATCAAAGTTTTTGCGGGTTTTACCCATACCCGCGGCCATGGATTTGATTGCCATCCCTAATTGTAAGAGCTGAATTCTTCATAAGTGACATTAACGATATTGTTTTTTTTTATAAATAAAACGATATTGTTTTAGTGTGGTATTATAACGATTGTTTTGGTAGTTGTGATTTTTTTTGCTCTATTTTACCTTAATATGTTAGTCTCATCAGTTTGATTTTGATATGATCTCATAATCTATATTTTTTATTTTGGAAAATTTTGGTTAGAGGGGAGACATAATAGTCCAAAGAGGGGAATCTGAAAATCTGTAGTGGAAATGGGCTTGAGGATACATTGTCTGGTGAACTAGTTGTGACCCAAATGAGCCACAGCTCATGAATCACTAGTTTGTATATTGCCTTAGCCATTTCTATGGCCCCATGCTTTGGTGTGATAATGATTTGATTTGATTTTTATTCAGAGGGACCTCCCCATATCAATTTTGCAATTGCTCTGACAGAAACTTGTGAAAACAATGAAAAAAGTGACAGTGAGAGAGAGAGCCCAATTGAATACAATCATAATAAAAGACTGGAAGCTCAAATTTTTTTTTTTTTTTTGTTAAACTAAATGAGGATTATACCAACTTCAAAAACTCATGTCTAGTATTATATTGCAAATCATAAACAACCATATAAGATATGACTAACAGCAAATGGATATGTAATGCTTGATCTGGTTGTCTTTTGCCATTTTTTTAACAAGTCAGTTCCCCTATTGTAAAACTAAAAAACAAAGGATCAACATAAATTCTGATAGGTGCAATCTCCTTAAAAGTTAACACAAGCTAGCTGGCACCTCAAAAGCACAACCTGGGAATGGATTATATAAAACCAATTGTTTCAAACTCTCAACTACCATATCTGTTGATCCATTTCTTGGGAGGAATGCACATTTTACTTTTTACTACGGCAGTAGCTTCTGATGCGGGCCAAGGTTGAACAAAGCTAAGCTAAGCTAACAACATAATGATTCCCAGAATTTTGGGTAAATCTGCAGTCAAGTGAGCTTGGCCTTTCTTCCTTTTTTACAATAATACAGTGAAAGAAGTTCCAACTAGTGGGAGGCTTCCGATCAAAACCCATGTCAGAAATGGATGGGGAAAAATCATGGGTAAAAAAAGAGAGACAAACTGAAAAATTCAGTCGGACTGTGATTAGTTGTCACTGAACCATGATGAGCTGCTGCTGTTGTTGAGCTTCAAACTTGATCCCAGCTTTCATCTTGCTAATGAAATCCTCGCATTTCCTCTGCAATTCTTCACTACTCAGCAACCCATTTCCATGCTCTCCTTGTTCATAATCAAAACCCTCAACTTCTTCTGCGATAAAGCTTGAGTCTTTATCCTCCTCCTTTTCCCTTTCACCTTCTGAAATCGCTACTTCTGTGGCAAAGCTGCAATCTGTATCCTCCTTTTCACCCCCTCCACCTTCAGAAATCAATTCTTCTGTGATAAAGCTGCAATCTGTAGCCACCTTTTCCACCCCTCCACCTTCTGAAATCACCTCTTCCGTAATAAAGCTACAATCTTTACCCTCTTCCTCTCTCATTTCACCTTCTGCAATCACTTCTTCCTCTTCTACCTCTTCCAGTTTCTGCTTATCTTCCATCTCTTGATCAAATTCAGCTGCTTTCTTCTTCTCCCCGTTCCCAATCAGACCAGAACTCTTGGCAATCAGTACCAAGATCCCATTGCAAACGATGAACATGTAATTCTTGTCCACAACTGTGCTGGAAAGTTCAAGGAACAGAGGAAACACATAAGCAGAATGCTGCAACAGTACAAAGAAGAAGAGAATTGGAGCTATGAGCTTTGTGGCCTTCTTAACAGACTGGGAAGAATTGCTCAGAGGAAGAGACTTGTTGTGATGGCTTGGTGAATTTGCTGCCATTATTGATCTTTTTCTTTTTTCTTTTGAAAGATGAGAAGTGGGTCTGTGTTTATTTTCTGATCCGAATATATATAGGAAAGGAGATGTTCCATTAATTACCAGAACTGCCATTTGGGGGGGACATTTGAAGGGCAATGAGACCAAGTCAGTCAACTGCACTCTATTAGTTTACTACTGTTGTTAGTCCCTCGGAATAAAGAAAGAAAGGTGATGGGGTTTTCTCTTTTTGTTTGGGCTTCTAAGAAGATACCACTGGAATTTCTAAGAAGTGAACCCATGGTGTACCAAAAGTTCCCCCACTTTCACGCGGTGGTTTTCCATGTGTCAGAAACCTGGTAAGGAATTTGGGGTATAGTTCAGAGCGGTAACAGGATTCTGTTAAAAAAAAAATTGATCCATTCCAAATTTTTTAGATGACCAATGATTCCGGACAGAGAAAAGAAAGTTAGGTTTTTCTGTTTGTAAGTTGATCCATTCAAAGGCAACATAACTACTCATTTTACCAAAAAGATATCGGCATTATGAATTTATGGTGTCTCTTAAGTCTTAACTCTTAACGTTATTCAACGGAAAAGAAAAAATATTATTGACTGTTCCTTAAATTGTTTTTATTTCATTGTGTGTATTTGTCATTTTAAAAAGATTTCTTGGATCAAGTCACTGTAATTGAAGATATATCATGGAATTATAAGATTGAATTTGTAGTTACTTGTTGCCGATACAAAACACAAATTGTAATATAAGATTATAAAGATACATGGTTAGACTTGTGTACTACTAATCGAGTTTAGGGTATGAAATGATAGTATAATCTAACATCTAATAGACGAACTTCAAATTATTAATCTCTTATCTCAAGTCCAAGGATATAAGTTAATAATTAATAATAATTAAATGATTCTTATTTGTCGATGTACAACAAAGTACATCTAACGATAAGATCACTTGGAGTATGATATATCACAAGAATACTCTAGTCATTACCATATATGTTGCTATGACTTGAAGATAGATTATTTGCCATCAACTAGGGGTTCGGGTGCAATGCATCCACTATGTATGGGTTTATACACGTTTGCTTTACTATTTTAGGTCTGGTCTGTAACCTTTTATTTTTCATTTTGGTTAGGTTAGGTTGTATGAAGAATGTACTACATATACCTTCTCAATCTTTGTAATCAATATCTTCTGAAGTATAGTGAAACTACTCTCTCTCCTTCCCGTGGACGTTGCTAACAGCCTAACACAAATTGTGTTAATGAACCACGAAACCACTTGTTGATTTTCAAATCTGTTACAACAAGTGGTTTCGGAGCATGATTCAAATGGACATAATGTTTGGTGGACCCTCATTTTATGGCCTCATGATTTGACATATGCATATGTGTGATGGATCAAAGGGAGCTTTGATCTGTATGGCGGATCAAAGAAAATTTGCGTCTGTCTAGTAGATATAAGAGATTTGCGTCTGTTACACCATAACAGAATGGAGTGGCAGAATGCATGAATCAAACATTAATGGACGCAATATGCATGCTCTCTAATGCTGGGTGGAGAATAGATTGTAAAGGCTTGAATGATCTGTTTGATATTGATTAGGAGAGTGTAGTTAAATACCCTCTTTACAACAGTCCTAGCTACAATTGAGGAGCCACTACGTAGACCACTAAGGCCACTAAGTACAATTAAATATAATAGGAATTTAAGAAATATCCTTAACACGCCCCCGCAAGATGGTGGAGGGGACGACACCGATCTTGGAACGAAGAAGCTGGAAGCGAGTGATCGGTAGTGGCTTAGTCAACGAATCAGCAAGCTGATGGGCCGTGGGAATATGATGAACACGAAGAGCGCCGGACTGAACAAGCTCGCGGACGAAGAGGTAGTCGAGTGCCAAATGCTTCATCCTGGAGTGATGAATGGGGTTTGCCGAAAAATTAACGGCGCCAAGATTGTCACAGTAAAGGATAGGTGATGTTGAGACGGGCTGGTGAAGTTCGGATAATAGATTTTGAACCCATAGTAATTCGGCCGTGGCATGTGCAAGAGCGCGATACTCAGCCTCCGTGCTGGAACGAGCTACCGAGCGTTGTTTCTTGGACTTCCAGGAGATTAGGTTGCCGCCATAATAAATAAGATATGCCATGGTAGAAGTACGGTCGTTGGGGTCCCCTGCCCAGTCTGAGTCCGCGAAGGCGATAAGAGAAGAGGACATGGCAGTGGAGAGACGAAGACCAAGAGTGGATGTGCCTTTGAGGTAGCGGAGAAGTCGTTTTACGTGTTGCCAATGAAGCTGTGTCGGGGCATGCATGAACTGGGACAATTTGTTAACGGCGAAGGCTATGTCTGGACGGGTACATAACAAATACTGAAGAGAGCCCAACACCTGTTTGTAGAGAGTAACATCAGCCTGGCGGGTAGCCATCACGAAGAAGAAGCTTGGCAGCGGAGGATAACGGTGTGGGTGCAGGTTGACAATCGGCCATCCCAAAGCGTTGCAGGATATCTTGAATATATTTATGTCGAGAGAGCAAAAATCCAGAAGTAGTGTGAAGTACCTCAATGCCCAAGAAGTACCCTACATTGGTGAGACTTTTTAGGGAAAAACGGGCAGCAAGTCGAAGTTGAAAGTCGGCGAGAGCAGAGGCATCATTGTCGGTGAGCAACAAGTCGTCAACATAAACAAGAAAGTAGAGAGTGACCTTGCCGTGATGATAAATGAACAATGATGCATCACTCTTGGACTTGACAAAACCTTCAGCCTCAAGGAAACTGGATAGCTCCGTATACCAGGAGCGAGGAGCTTGACGGAGACCATATAGAGCTCGAGATAAACAACAGACATGATCAGGGAACTGGGAATCACGGAATCCAGGCGGCTGGACCATATAAACTGTCTCAGCAAGAGAACCCTGTAAGAAAGCGTTGTTAACGTCGAACTGAAAAATAGGCCATTGATGGGAGAGAGCGACTGAAAACACTGTGCGAATGGTGACCGGCTTCAACACCGGGCTATAAGTGTCATGAAAATCAATGCCAGGGCGTTGAGTAAAGCCTTGAGCAACGAGCCGAGCCTTGAACCGAGCAATAGAACCATCCGCATGGCGCTTGATGCGAAATACCCAGCGACAACCAACAATATTTGTGAACGATGGACGGGGAACAAGAGACCATGTGCGATTAGCAAGGAGGGCCTGAATTTCAGCCCGCATAGCAGCGACCCAACGCGGATCTTTGAGAGCCTCGGCAACAGAAGAGGGCTCGACCTCCAAATGGACCTGCGAGAGAAACAATTTCTTTGGACGAAAAATCCCGTGTTGGCTGCGGGTAGTGGGACGTCGGGGTGCTTTTGCCGGTGGCGGTGGAAGCTGAATGCCATGTGAGGAGGACGCTACGGGGGACGCAGCGGGACGGCGGCCAGAAGAATGCCCAGGAGCTGGCGAGGAAGCAAGTGGTGGAGCATCCTGCAAAGGTGAGGAATTGGAAACAGGGGGAGTAGGCAAGTGAATAATGTGAATAGGGGGAGTAGTGAAGTCTACCCAAGCAGGAGGATCATAACGTGAGGTGGAGGCAGAGGGAAGACCCGGAAGAAGGGACTCCTCAAATTGAACGTGACGGGAGACAAATAGCCGATCAGCAGCAGGATCATAGCAAAGAAAAGCACTGTGCGAAGGGGAGTAGCCAAGAAATAGGCAACGACGAGAACGCGGGGCTAATTTGTGTGGAGAATACGGGCGTAGCCAAGGGTAGCAGACGCAACCAAAGACACGCAATTTGTGATAGTTGGGTTGTTCGTTGAACAAAGAAAAGAATGGAGTTTGGCCACGAAGAGAAGAAGAAGGAAGGCGGTTGATGAGGTAGACGGAAGTTTTGAAAGCATGAGACCAGAAACTGAGTGGGAGATTAGCAGTATGCAGAAGAGTGAGACCAGTTTCAACAATATGCCTATGTTTGCGTTCGGCAAGGCCGTTGTGTTGGGGAGTATGGGGAGGGGTTAAAAGATGGGTGATACCGTTGGTTTGAAGAAACGAACACAGTTTTTGAAACTCACCACCACCATCACTATAGACACGTCGAATAGAGGTGTGAAAGAAATTCTCAATCATAGCTTTTTAACCAGTGAAAATGTTATGCACATCAGACTTGCGAGAGAGAGGGTAAAGCCAAGTATATCGTGTGAAATGATCAACAAGCACCAAATAGTACGAAAATTTATCATGAGAAAGAACAGGTGAGGGCCCCCAAACATCCATATATAACAAATCAAAAGGCCGAGTACTGGATAAGCTAGAAATGGAAAAAGGAAGTTTGTGACTTTTATGTAGCGAACAAGATTCACACGACGTATGGGAGATGGAGGAAGTAACAGGAAGAGACTGATTACGCAAAACACAGGAAAGAAGCTTTAGATGTGGGTGGCCGAGCCGATTATGCCAAGTCAAAGAGGACACTCGTGTTGCCGTCAACGCCAGCTGAACAGGTTGAGACACCGCGGGCAGCTCATAGACATCTCCGTTATTCTGGCCGCGAAGTAGATGCACCCCCGTGGCTAGATCCTTCACAACAAAGCAATCAGAAAAAAATTCCACAGATACAGGATTAGATTTACATAATTGAGCCACAGAGAGCAAACGACGCTTGATCGCAGGAACACAGAGGACATTATGAAGATCCAAACGCCTCAAAGGAGAAGACAAATGAGAAGCACCGATATGAGAAATATGCAAACATGTCCCATCGCCAATGAGCACCTCGTCGGGGCCATTGTAATCAGTATATAAAGAGAGAGAGCCGAGATCCGGAGTCATATGATTGGTGGCCGCGGAATCAACCAACCACCCAGAAGAAGAGGGTGCAGAAGCAGTAGTATGGTGAGCCTGGGGACGACCTATGATACGGTAGCAATCCTTAGCAGAATGACCAGGCTTGTCACAAAATTGACAAAGCAATCGAGGCCGGCCGAGAAGAGAAGGCGCAAGCTGCCCGTTTGAATAACCTGAAGATCCACGAGAAGGAGAATTGTGGTGGGAACGTGGACTGACATGCCGACGAGGAGAAGAGTCGGGACTATAGTAAGGTGGAGGCGGCGAGCCCCGCCGGGGTTGAGGAGAGCGGCGTCCACGAGCAGATGAGAAGGCCGTGGTTGGAGCAGATGGCGGTTGAACACGTACAGCAGCTAAATCGGCCTCATACTCAACGAGGCGGTCATGAAGATCCTCCAATTTGATGGGATTGTCCCGTGCACGGATGGCAGCAGAAATCTGCCCATATTCTTCACGCAGACCACGAAGAATATGAAGGATTAAATCCTCGTCAGCAACCGGAGAGTTGATCAGAGCCAACTCGGCAGCAGTTGTGCGCATAGCCTGAAGGTAAACTGAAACAGGACGCCCCCCTTGGACCTCGCTAAGAAGCTTTCCCTTCAGATTGATAACGCGCTGGCGGGACTGACCGGCGAACATACGTTCAAGAGTGGTCCAGGCCTCACGAGATGAAGGACAGGCAGAGACATAGGGTGAAACAGCCGGGGATACCGAAGCAAGAATGGAGTGAAGAAGCAATTGATCTTGCCGGTACCACCGATTACGAACGGCAGGAGATGCAGTGGCAGCTGGTTCAGGATGCGTGCCATCGAGAAATCCGAGAAGATCAAGGCCATGCAGAAGAGTAAGTAGTTGAGCACGCCAGGTAGGGAAATTGTCACCTGTGAGCTTGGTAGGCAGCTGAGATGCTGGATTAAGTGTGATAATTGTATTTGAATCATCAAGATTGATGATCGACTCACCGGAAGTACCAGACATAGTAGCGGCGGCTGAGAAATAAAGAAAGAAAGAAGAAACAGTGGTGTTTGGTTTGTAGCTAGGGCGACTAAAGAAAGAGGGAAGAAAGACGTGTGCTTAGTCTAGTTTTTAGGAGAGGAAGTTAAGGAGATCAGAAGCATCAGCTCTGATACCATGTAAAGGCTTGAATGATCTGTTTGATATTGATTAGGAGAGTGTAGTTAAATACCCTCTTTACAACAGTCCTAGCTACAATTGAGGAGCCACTACGTAGACCACTAAGGCCACTAAGTACAATTAAATATAATAGGAATTCAAGAAATATCCTTAACATAGATTATGGGCAGAAGCAGTAAACATGTCATGCTATCTTATCAACCATGGACCTCGCACTAGTATCGAATGTCAAACACCTTATGAAGTGTGGTTTGTAAAGCCTGTCGATTACTCTTTGCTGAAAGTTTTTTGTTATCATGTTTACTATGATATGGATGAAGGTAAATTGAATCCAAGAGCTAAGAATGGTTTTTTTTTTTTTTGTGCTTCGGGGATGGAGTTAAGGATAACGAGTCTGGTCACCTTTCGAGTATAGAGTTATACTTGGAGGAAATGTGATATTTGATGAGAAATTCATGTTTAACTCCATGTTGACAAATAGGTGGAGCTGCAAAAACATTTTAGATGTGAGTACATCAACAAGATGGATAAAATCAATACAGATGTTTCTGATGTGCCAACATCTTCAGGATCTAGTACACATCTTAACTGTCTATAGCTTCCGATAGTCCAAAGAAATCTATTGTAGGAATACCTCCAACAAGGTATGACTTTGAGGATATGGTGGGTTATGTAGTTCAGGTTGTTGTGAAGGTGGATATGAGTGAGAAATTTAGCTACAAAGAGGTTGTTTCGTGTGGCGAGTTTACTCAAGCTTACTGCAATGGGAGAGGAGATACAATCCCTTGATAGGAATCAGACTTGAGAGCTGGTCAATGGTCACAGGGGAGGAAGATTGTTACTTGCAAGTGGATTTTCAAAAAGAAGGAAAGGATGTTATCTGCATAGGGTATCAAATATAATGCTCGGCTGGTTGCAAGAGGTTACACACAAAAAGAAGGTATTCAATACAATGAGATCTTCTCACCAGTGGCCAGACATGCTTCAATCAGGGTGTTACTAGCAATAACACATAAGGACTAGGAGATTTAGCAACTAGACGTGAAGATATATTTTCTACATGGAGAGCTAGTGATAACACTCTAATTACACATATTTATTCTCTCATTTCTTGAGCATTTGGGATTGATTTCTTGCGCATTAAATCAATTTTATGCTAGGTCATCCCTATTGGTCATATTTCACGTCTTACGACGTGAATGAGAGTTTAGGAGCAAGTTTTGGGCAATTTGGAGAGCGGGTAGGATTTGGAGGATGTGAAAGAAAATTCCACGATCTGTGAAGTTAATTCCCCTATTGTGGATCAAGATTTTGGACTGTGGAACACAGACAGAAAGATCCTCGATCTGGTGAGTAATATTCCACGACCGTGGAAATAGTGACGCTGACCAGGGAATTGACCTGGAAGCTGCTCATCCAAACATAGCATTTTGATGTTACATAGTCTAGAACCCTATTCCATGATAGTGTAACATGACCGAGGAATGGCCAACTGCTGTTAATAAATGGATTTTTACTTTTTCCTGCAAGGATCCTATTCATTTTACCTAAAACTTAGCTGAGAGCTTTATGGAGAGCAAAAGTTATGAAAGACCATCCAACCATAATGATGGGTAGGTGGATTTTGACCAAAAACCCACCCAACCACCCATTGACCATCCATACTTCCATCCCATTTATTATTCATCCAAGACCCTCAATTATACCTAGGAAAACTATACCACCACAAAAAAGGAGCTACTTATTGTGGTATATAAGTACGATAAGTTCTAGACCTATATGGTGATGTCATGTTGCTGCAAGATCATTTTGCCATCAGTTTCTTATGAGCAAGACCGATGCTAAGTCTCGGCTCATACGACGGATCTTGTTGTTGCGAGAGTTTGACATTGAGATCAGGGACAAGAATGGGGTCGAGAATGTCGCTGCTGATCATTTATCGAGGTTAGGAGTCCAACAAGTGGAAAACTTCGTGGAGGAGATCAATGAATCCTTTCTATATGAGCGACTTCTGATGTTGTGCTTTGTGGAGAGTGTCACCCTGTGGTTTTCTAACTTCACCAATCATCTGGTGGCAAGCATTTCCCAAGGGGAATGACGACTAATGCAAAGAAAAAGTTTTTCTCCGACTTGAAGTACTACTTTTGGGATGATTCATACTTGTTCAGAGTAAGAGCTAATGGCTTGATCTACCATTGTGTTATGGAGACAGAGATGGAGGCCATTCTGACTCAATGCAATGAGGGGCCTACAGGTGGCCAACACGCGATAAATCGCATGGCGAGGAAGGTGCTACAATAAGGATTTTACTAGCCCGCGCTCTTCAATGACGTGGAGTCCTTCGTACACTGGTGCGATCGATGACAAAGGTCAAGTAATATCTCTTCCTGGAATGAAATGCCCCAAAATGTGTTCCTTACTTGTGAAAACTTTTTATGGTTGGGGCATAGATTTTATGAGCCCCTTCCCTAAATCTTTTGGAAATCTCTATATTCTTGTGACTGTAGATTACATCTCGAATTGTCTGTTAGTTTTTGAAGCAACTCATCTCCCGGTTTGAGCCACCAAAGGCCATCATTAACGGCCATCGCCTCAAGCGCTAACTAGGAGGCAAAGTGGATCATTCTGAAGAGGTGATCTACCTCGACAACCCTTAGTTCCTTATGATGCTTCTAGCTAAAGATGTAAAAGAAAAGGCAAATGGGGAGGCAACCGCATATTGGTTTGCATTTTCGTTTCCTTCTCCTTGATATTTGTGTGTGTCGAGTACCGACCATGTTGTATGCCCATTTTGATGTCTTTTTGTCTTTAGTTGGTTGGTATGTTGTGGAGATCGTTTGGTTGCATTTTCGGTGAATTTTCTAAGTCGGGGTAATTAAATGGTCCATGGAGGCATTACACGGTCAAGAAATTATATTCCCTAAATCGTGCAATGTTCTACCTCAATTCTACAGTCTCATAGCCTATTCCTTGATCGTGGAATTGAGGTTGCTTAACTGTGTATTTGCTTGCCTATTACATGGCCTAAGGCCCTATTTCACGATCGTGGAATAGGAGCGTAGACCGTGTAATACACATATATTTGTGAAATCCGGTCAGAGCCTCATTTTCTCCACTCCCCCCCCCCCCCTTTTCCCCGATCACGGACTACTCCCTTTGCCGAAAACCCTCAACCAACAAAAAAAACTTAATTTTAATTTTAATTTCTCAGCCAAAAACCTCGCTTCTTTGAAGGAGAAGCAGACGACCACCCACCTCATGCTACCTCTAACGGGCGATTTCGATCCCCTTTTCGATGTTAAGCTCTTCTCCTTACATGGTATATCCCTCCACTCTCCCCTCTATGTTCTCATGATGGAAGACAAATAAATAAGAGTGACGAGTCCCTCTGCCTAGGCCAACCAGTTCCCCTGTGATGCAATTGAATTGAAATACAAATACAGGAACTCTTTCTTGAATTACCATAAGACCCTTACCTTCTTAGGGTTAGGACATATGGGAACATTGGCAGAGGCAACTGGATTTGCAATTGTCACAGGGCATGAGTGGTTCGGGATAGATTGTACACTTTTATACCCATTTCCTTGTGTCATTTGACTATTTAGCACAGTGCTTGGAGCCATTTTATGCTAGGTTTGGTCTTGTTTTGGCATGTTTCGAACTTTAGTGGGTAGAATGGGCGAGAGGATCGAAAAGGGAGAAAAATGAAGAAAAGTGCAAGGATCACGAGCTATCAGCAATTCTCATGGGCAACACAACGTGAAGTTGATGAGGACACCGTTAAGATCACAAAGTTTTGGAGCATGTTCACGCCTCGCGGGCATTGCAAGGATCACGGTCCCAGACCGTGAAGTCATCAGAGAAATTGTGAAGTGTGTTAATGACACGACGCGCTTTGCTCTGAGATCACAGTTTTGTTACACACTTCACAGGCATGATATGAAACCATAAAATGTGCACTCGCATGCTATATAAAGGAGAGGGAGAAGAATTTCAAGAGGGGTTTCTAGAGAGAGTTTGGAGTTCTTCTTTCACAACCTAGAGAGAAAGAGCTACAAGCACTATAATTGAAAATGGATTTGACCTACCCAAGCAAATTGGAGGTTAGATTTCATCTCCAAGCATCCATCCAGGCAACTAGTAAGAAGAAGAATCAAATTTCCATGGGGGTTTCCCCTTTTCTAGTTGTTGTTCTTTCTCTAGCTATGGAGTAGTTTCTCTTTTCACTTGGATGATGTAAACCCTAGTCTAGGATGTTGTATTGATGTTTGTGAACGCTATGTGTTCATGAGTATTCTTTATCAAATCCCTCAATTTTGGGGCAAATTGACATGTAACTCTATGTTATTTCGTGTTAATCTCCGAGGGAGTGGAATTGGTTGCCTTAGTCGTCTTTTATGGTTGTGTGGTAGGTCTCTTTTATTAGAACGATCAAGCGGGTTAGGATGAACTCGATTGGGGGTCCTAGCTATTTTACATTTCTAACGGTATATGAACTTGCCTATCGTATTAGAGTATCAAATTCTCATCTCGACACGAGACTAGGGGATATCTAACAACATTTTCTATATAATTTGTAGATTGTTGAAGTAAGGATATATATAGATCCGCTGGGTTTGATAATTGAAATATTTGCTCTACACTGCACCTGGTTACAGGTTATACTTGGCCTATGATTGAAATTGAGTAGCTAGTAGCGAGCCAATGAGTAAATTTATTTAGGGGGAGGGGGGGTTGAAATACCCTATATATGCTTATATTGAGGATCGAACACAACACTTACATGGTATAATGGTGTTTTGTCATTACACCACTACTTATCACTTGTTTATAAATTGTCAATAAATTAACAAATGTATTTTGTGTTATTTTTCAGAATATGAAAATAATTATTGTATTATTCTGTTATTTTTTTATCTATAAACGAATTATTTGGATATTATTAATTTTAATTATACTTATTAAATAAATAGTTATATATTTATATTATGAAAAGATAACACATTTAGTTTCAAATCGACCCACCCCAATAGATGGGAATGAGAAGTCATGAAAAAAGAATATGAAAATTGAAAAACTAGATGAGAGAGATGAGGGTGGGCAGTAGCGAACACATAAATTTTATATATGAGTGTCCCTTTCAAAATACCCCCTCATGTGGGTGTTGACAACAAAGAATGAGAAGTGAATGTGAATGGTTATCAATTTAGTTACCCTAATTTGACTCTTTTGAGTGAGAGGGCGCGGTTTACAACCAACCTAATTTGAACTATCTTTAGCTCCTTTCGAATCTTCCTATTTTAATTTTTATTGAAGAAATTCTATTTTTATTTTGGAGAATAATAATGTTTAGAGTTTTGGCCTTAGAAATTTTTTCAACGGTAATTTATTTTATTATAGTGAATTAATATGTGTTTTACAATTTATAATATTCTTCTTTATAAATGAGCAATTTATTGATGAATTTATGATAACTTAATATCGATTATACCACTAAAATGTGAGCCATTTGCTATACCGTTCATACTCTAATTTGGTTGTGACATTGATTAGTATAATAATCCATTGCATTTATAATATTCTTGTTTATAAAACAATAATTTATTAACGCATTTTAGTTACGTAATATTGAGTAAACCATTAAAATGTGAGCCATTTGCTTTACCGTTCATACTCCAATTCGATTCCAACAACTATCAGTATAATAATAGTCCATTGCATTTGTATGGAAAGTTTTTTAGTATGGGAGCATGGTTTAATCATTAAAGGGTAGATTCATGGAACTTTCCATGTTTTAGTGAAAGGTAATTGCCTTGCCCGATATTCCAATTGGCCCATCAAACTTAGATTCTTACTTGGTTTTGGGTTTGGCGGATCGTAGAGATAGTTGAATGGCCAATACTATGGTGCCGCACTTAAAGCAGCCAATTTTGATTGGTCCACGTGTCATTGGTTAACATCCCGATTCCTGGAAGCCAAACCCGGGATTCGGTTCAATTCCTTTGCAACCGACTCTTAACCCAAGAAAAGACTCCAATGACCAATCCAAAACTTCATCGGAATTTCGTCAAGCACGCATCCGATCAAACTCAGTTAGATCTAATTCCATTAATGGTTGTTTTTCTCGTTCTCCCATACTTCCTCTCACCTAGCTCCTCCGTCCCGCCGCCTCCGTTCTTTTTATTCCCCTTCCACATCCTTCTTTCGCTCTTTGCTGGTTGTCGTGCCCCGGTGATTCCCCACCGACGTGCTTGCTACGACGGCTTTACCAAGCATTGTTTGCTTCTAAGTCTTCGTGCAATGTCCAGATCTTGGTGGACGAGAACGAACCGTAGATGAGGCTTCTGAATAGGTTCGGGAGGGAAGTGACTAGGCCTTGGGTGATTTAGGAGTGCGAAGATGATAAACATTAAGCAGAATTGCAAGAGGTAATATATGGATGATTGGATTGAATTGAAGGAATGAATGCTTTTTTGTTTTCTATTTGTGCGGATATCAGAAATTTGGGGTTTAAGGTATAACAGAGAAGACAGACAAGGCAAGTTGCAGTCATACTGCATTGAGGAATGAAGGCTCTGCTTCTGCAGAAGATCGAAGAAATGAAGAAGAAGAAGACAGAGCCTTATACGGTGACGTTTACGAGAAGATGAAGTAGGATGAAGTGCACCGTTTTGCCTTGTAACTTACTTCCGTTTTTACTATGTAAATATACACGTGTAGTCCATAGATAGGATTATTCATTTAGTAGTTATAGTTACCGTTAGGTTAATCTGCTCTGTATATAAACTCTTTTTCATCAATGAAAGAGCTCAGTGAGCATTTTCCCCAGAATCTCTGATTATTCTCATGGTATCAGAGCCTGGTTGCTCACATTATTAGGGTTTCAGTCCCTCCTTACCTCATCGCCGCCTCTCCTCTTCTTACTCACTTTCTACCTCAGCTGCATCTTCTGATACCCACTGCTCATCTCTTGAGCAATGGCAGATGATGATGAAACCACCAAATCTGGATCTGGTAGTGCTGGGAAATACCTAAACCCCTACTACCTACCCCCACAGGATGGTGCTTTATCCACCATTGTTTCCATCAAGCTCGTGGAAGGCAACTACCACAAATGGAGCCAAGTCATGCTGGTGGCTCTCGCTACAAAGAACAAGATCTCTTTCATTGATGGTAGCATTCCAGTCCCAGAGGTAACAAATCCCATCTATCAGTCCTGGCTTAGGTGTAATGGAACTATTCGGTGTTGGATCTATAATTCTCTTGCCGATGACATAGCGAATAGTGTGATGCGTTTGGACAATGCCAAGGACGTTTGGGATAACCTCAAAACCCGTTTTAGTCAAGAAGATAACATTAGGGTTTATGATCTGGAAGGACAGTTGGGTAAGTGTGTTCAGGGTGACCAAACTGTCAGTCAATTTTTCACTGCTATCACCGTTGTGTGGGAGGAATATAAGAGATACAGACCCATTCCTTCATGTCCCTGCAATGGACCATATGAAGTGATGAAAAGATATCAGGATAATGACTTTGTCATTAAATTTCTACAAGGATTGAATGACACCTATCAGTCAGCACGAACACAGGTGTTGATGAATCCTATTTTGCCTAGCATCGATGTGGTGTTCAAACATATATTGCAGCTGGAAAGACAAATGAAAGGGGTTAACAAGCCCAAAGGTGTTGAGTCAGTGGCTCTAGCTGCAACATCTGGCCAAAACAACAATCAATCTCGTCATCCACAGACTAGTGACAGAGACTACAAGGATGGAAAGAAGTTTTGCAGATACTGCAAAAAGGACTATCACACTGTGTTTGAATGCATCAAGTTAAAGAACAAAAAGGCAAGGGAAGCTGGAGGAAGTGCATTTGCTGGGTCAGTTGAGACTGGACTAGAATCAGATGGTGTTGGTGGTCCAATGGGAACAGTTGCAGCTGTTAGCAGGGGTCCTGAAGTCCAAACCAGAAATGACAGTCTGGCCAGTTTGCAATTAAGCAGTGAACAGTTAGAGAAGCTGAGAATGCTGCTGATGCACACACCATCATCATCACCTTCACCACCAACCTCACCAAACATCAGACATTCTGCAAATGTTGCTGTCACTAATCTTCCTTATCAACCAGTTCACCTGCCTTCCAGTTCAGGTACCACAGTTCTATCTACTCTTTCAAACAACACTACAGAACCACTGTGGGTGCTTGATACTGGAGCCACAGACCACATCATATGCAATCTGAAATACTTTCTTAAGTACAAACCTCTAGAAGGTCTTTTTATCAATCTGCCTAATGGGAATAGAGTCAAGGCCACACACATAGGAATTGTCAAACTTCCATGTGACTTGTTTCTTTCACAAGTCCTGTTTGTCCCTAGCTTCGTTACAATTTGGTTTCTGTTAGTAGACTCACCAAAACCAATCCAGTCTCACTCTTGTTTAAATCCTCTT